AAATTAAAAATAAAGTCTACATAGTATAATTTTCTGCACAGAAGTTATTAGAAAAAGCACCGATGGTAGGGTTGACATTAATTTGCAGGTCAAGAAATTCGGAATCATTCCTCCAAATTAAGAATTGTTGGCAGTTATACTCTACAAAGATTTAAATCCAGTGTATAATAATTCAAGCATATTTTCCATGGGAGAGAAAACGACAGGAAAAAAGTTCATTTCCTGGCTTGATGGAAATTTATATAACATCTGTAGAATGTGAAAAACAGCCAGGGAGGCTGTTCAGTAAAAATAAAAGGAGAAATGAAAAAAATGGTCGAAATGCAATTCGATTAAATTTAAAGTGAATTACTGTATAATTATCATTTTCTTATCTTCTCATACAGAGAAGGCCTATGGATTCACACATTCATAACATTTAGAAAACACGTTTATCATATTCACAGAAATCTTTTTAATATTTCTGTCTTTCTCGTTTCACATACGTGCTAAATTACCGGAAATTGTTATTTGTATTTGGGAATTAACAATTCACCTACGGGTATCGCGCATACTAGCATGATATAAACAAACAAACAATATATATATATATATATATATATATATATATATATATATATACATATATTTACATATAAATGCCTGTGCATTTTTATAATTGCTACACTACATCGATAACAGATACCCGTCTTCAAAATATCAATAATATATTATAATTATAAATTATAAAGTACTATAATATTATGATATATGCATAAAATTTTAAATACAATATTTAAGCACAAGGAAATACTTTATTCACAAATACATACATGTACGTTCTGAGACGTTTGCTTGCGTTTAAGAATGCCTATCTGGAAATAAGTCCAAAATAGTAGCAAACTAGAAGAAAAAAAGTTAGCTCAGTGTTCGTGTCGTACTTTAAAACAATTATTGTTGAGGCTCTGTGGGATTAAAGTGACATATGTCTAGATTTGATAAAAGAATGATGTAAAGGAGGAATTGGATATAGTTATCTTAGTTACAACTGCAATCGTCATGTAATTGTGTAATATATTATATCAGATTCAAATACCTTATCGTGAAACTTTAACTCATGGGTTTATTGCATCTGGTAGGGAATTTGTAACTTTTGATTACTTTATTAGTAAAATTCTTTCAAGGGTTATTCCAATCATGGGGAAACTCGCAAATAAGCTTAATGGCCCATTATCTCCTTTAATGACAGAAGATACATTATTTTGAGCAGATTAGTTAGGACTACTTTATTCCTACCTTTTCAAGCATTGGACATGAGACAGGTTAATTTACGAAGCTTATGCAAAAGAGGAAATGACGTATATTTAATTAAAACGTCTTGTAACCAAATTTATTGTGAAAGATATTTGTACCTATAAGTAAGAGCGAGCAGGGGGGAGAGAGAGAGAGATGGGGGGGGGGGGGGGGGGGAGAGAAAGAGAACTTTGTGTATAACGCATGTAAACGCAACGAATTTCTTCTTAGACCGATACATTTGAACCCTGTTTTCACGAAGTGACGGTAATGAGGAAAATCGCATATAATTTCACTTTTGATTTTTTTGCATTGTTGGACATCATTCACTAACATCTTGAACCTCACTTTCAGACCGTAATAACATCTAATTATGTCACTATGGTGATGACGTAAACAAGAAAATACCTAGCAAAAGGATTTCATGTTTTCACGAAGTGACGGCCAAGTACGCGCTTAACAGCCGTCAATTCGTGAAAACATCGTTTGCTCTTTTCCTGCTTTTAATATTTTCACGAAGTGACGGGCGTGAAAATTTCGCAGTTTGGAACAGTCACAGGCCATGAAAAGGTGAGTTTTTAAATATTTTTGTTAGGTAAATTAATATGGTAGACTACACTCTTTTTATTCATTCTGATTCTTTGTAAGCCATAAATAAATCCATGAGCACGGAAATGTGTGAAAATACACCGCCGTTCCACATATCGCCCCATATACCTTTTTTCATGTAAGTGAATAAATGAGTGAAGTATCATGTGATCCAAAAGTAAAAAGATCAACTTATGTCTTAACAAATATACATCTAGACTAAATAACTTGAGTGGAGAGTCTTTCTTATTTAGCTCCATACCAAATATTAATGCTATAAGGTTCTTTTTATATGTGCTTAGGTTATAAATTTGAACAAAGTTTTACAGAAAGTTAGAAAGTAGATCGAGTTTTACTTTTATTTTTGCATTAATTTACTATTTAGCTAATTATAAATTTAATTTAGAGTCTAGAACTCTAGTTACTCTACATCATCATTTTATAATTATCATTTTATGTCAGCCACTACTCATCAATCTAGAATCTAGAGGTGAGTAGATCAGGATCTAGACCAGACTGAGACCTTTCTTGTAAGGCGCGCGTGCCTGGGGTTTAAGAAACTTCAGGGCTCCAAGCCCAAGGTCAACATCAACATGGCCAAGGGCAAAGGGAGTTATGAAAATTATCATCATGCTGAGCTGGGATGTAGGCCCTCCTGGTTACATGTTAGGGAATTCAATGATTTGCCTTTCAAGGAAAGAAGGACATGAGTAAACATTTAATTAAAAAATGAAAAATGAATAAATGGTACCATCCGAAAAAAGGAATACTTTTTTGTTGAGCCTGAAGTAATCATGAGTATTCTATCTTGTGGGGAACAATGTCCACATGTTTAGCTTAGTTTCTCTCATTATCAGTACTCTGTGTCTGTTATATTCAAAGGCAGCACTGTACCCTTGGTCCCTCACCCTATACAAAAATTATTTTAAACAATTTTTCTTGATACCAGCAAATGTTGCCCAATTCCACTTCGTATTTGAAAAAATTTTCCAAGCAAGCACCATACCAGATCATGTACATGTCTCACTACCTACACTTCAGTGGTAATGAAATTGTGATGATGTTTTTGCTTTCACTTAGTTTCAGATGCAGTATATACAATTTGCACTTATATGAAGGAAGCACTGGGAAAGTACATCTACTTTTCAAGAATGCCACAGGCCAGAAACAAATCCAGGTGAGAATAGTTTCATGATCTGTTAAACAAAAATCACACTTTAGCAGCAAAGTACCAAGCACACTCACTTCGTATGTGCATTGGGGTGGTTGTTGTTTGGTAGGGGCAATTGGAAAATTCTATTTTGGGGGTAATAGGGGCAATTGAAAACTTCTGTTTGGGGTCAGTTATGCCTAGTAATTAATTTGATGTGCACAAGATAATATTGGATTCATTTCCTTACCTCTGCTTGCAAAAAAATGAAAGAAAATAACTTGTAATTATTTCTTTCATTCTACAAAATTAGATGTGTGAAGAAACTTGAAAAACTTGTCTTGAAGGGCATGCGTGAGAAACTAGACTCAATTACATTGATCGTTTTGACAATGCTTCAGTGTTTCAATACCTCAATCTTTCTTTTATACTGTTTGATTTTAAACATTTTGAATATCATAAATAAAGCAAACTCCACTCATAATTTTAATTGTGTGTACTAGTAATCGCAATGAAATGGATTGATCATAAAATCAATGAATTGATTTAAAGCAAACTGGTAACATTTTCCATTAGTTCTGAAACAATGAACTGAATGGTCGTACATGTGTCAGTTTTCTGTTACAGTATTGTAATGAACTCCTGCAAACATAAATCTTTTATATTCAAATGTATAACTCAGAAGAGCTATTTATCAGGTATACCTACCTCAATCAGTAATGCATATTAGAGTTTTCGATTCCAGTTCCATGAATCCTGATATCGTATCTTTGTATTGAAGAATTTGTTTATCTATTTTCTTTAAATGTTTGTATTCACAGGGGTTGATGCCTTAATTAGAACATGAATATAAGTTACATTTCCACAATTGGTTTTTCTCTCAAAACACAATGTTACTAGTTCACATTTAATGTTTTAATTTGTTACTTCTATAGTCATTCTCATCATAATTGTATTTGGTACTTCAAACTATCCTATAATCATACAATACAGTGCGTCCCAGAAAAAACGTAACCGAGAAGTATCGATGTTTTATCATAATTTAATCACAACCATAATTAATGAATGATACATATTTGGAAAGCTCAGAGTCTCCCCTTTCAGTTTATGCTACTCACGTGATGCATATTTTACGCATGGGTGATTAACCGCAATTTGAAGAGAGGAAACCAAAAAGTCATTTGGCGGGCAGTATCTGAATTTCAAGGAGAAAATCACATTTTTAGAAAGTTCAATTTCTGCCTTTTCATATGACACCTCAGTCAGGAAAAATGAGCCAGGAATAACAAAGTTCTGTTTTTTTAAAGGAATGCTTGCATTTCCATAATTTGATCGAACGGGTTCGTTTATACCGGCTTCTTGCCGTTGCAACGAACGGAATTGACAAAAGACTTAACTCCATTTCGTTGACGATCAGCCATGCACAAAGAAGACGAAAGACCTGATGCCTGGCTGATCTTCAACGAAATGGAGTTAAGTCTTTTGTCAATTATGTTTGTTGCTACGGCAGGTAGCCACTGAAAACGAACTCGTTTGATCAAATTATGGAAATGCAAGCATTACTTTAAACAAACAGAACTTTGTTATTCCTTGCTCAATTTTCCTGATCGAGGTATCATATAAAAGGGCAGGAATTGAAATTTCTAGAAATGTGATTTTCTCCTTGTCTTTTTTTCTTCTGTGTCTTCTCGGTCTATAAAGAACACAATACTTTCTCTATTTTTGCCTTGAAAGGTTTAGATATATATATATATATATATATATATATATATATATATTTATATTCGTATATATTTTAACAATTATGTGGCTCCGATTAGTTGTGAGCTGTCGAAGCACAGTCATATATTTTAGTTGGTGCTAATATTTCTTTTAAAAACCTCATACATTTGAAATGTTCCTCTTTGAGAATAAATTACACTGCATACATGATCGGCAATTACTTTCCTAAACGCAACATCTCTGAATAAAACGTCGCATGAAAACTTACCCAGAATACAGCATATGGATAAAAGGAGCGACTTCATTTTTGTTACCGGACTTGGAGAGGGAGGATCCAATAGTGACAACAGACGAGCAATCCCGAATCCGTTGTCTATTCAGTGGCGGATCCAGGGGGTGGGGGGGGGGGGAAGCGCCCCCTCCCCCCTTGAAAAAAAAAATCATGTAAAGACACGTGATTTTTTAGGTTGCCCCCCCCTCCCCCCTGGCGCCCAATTGGGGGGGGGGGGGGGTGCAAATTTTAAAATTTCGAGGACCAAAAAAAAAAATGTGCTCACTACCCCCCCCCCCCCCCCCCCCCCCACTGAGCGACTTTTCGGCCGGCGCGATTTTCAAATTTTCGGGAGCATAAAAAGTTGGACCCCCCCCCCCCCCCCACCCCTAAGAAATCCTGGATCCGCGCCTGTGTCTATTATTGGATTTGACGAGTTGGTGGCTTGTTAGCCTTCTGACTAGGTCAGTCGGCCATCCGCTTAACCGTGATTCGTGTCTACGCAGACTGAGCTGAGTTGAACTGTTACCACATGGTATTAGAGTTAGTGTAACACTTTAGCAGGTAACATCAAATTCTGTACAACTTTGCAGGAATTATGAATATGTCACGTATGCCATATCTGTGAAATGTAAACGTTAGCACTAAGCAGTGTCTTAGTATTCAAATTATGCAATGAAACCCGTTTACTTTCTAGACTTCACTGTCAGACACTATTGAGTGACTGACTTGCTTCTATTTTCGTTTGTAATAACATACATAAAAATGAGCTGTAAAGGGTACATGGAAATCAGTCTATTTAATTAAACGAGCGCGCTCACTAAATTTAATTTGACAACTAACGGTCGTTATTTTCCCACATAAAGACATTTTAAGCCCTTTTGTTTTGAAGGAAGTTCTAAATTAGTATCGTCTTTCGAATGCCGTTGGAATTTAATCCTTTCATATTTTGGTCTGCAATTGAGACATATAGTTCCTATAAGGGTAAAGTGTCCGCCGCCTGCGTCTAGTGCATGAATATCAGTGGGTAAAGTTTCGCAGTCAAATTAATTTATTCATGCTCATGGTTTTATTTCAGGTTACATCATACCTAAGGTTGCTTTTAATGTTCCAAATAAGACTAAGTTATGTCTCTCACACAGGCAGATTTTACCATTTATCAATATTTACCCCAAAAATGAGTTAAATTATTTGACTTTTTTCATTTGATCTTTTCGTAATGACAGAGACTTCCTTAATCATTTAAGACCCGTATGTTTATCTTCGTTGTAGCGTTATCATAGAACTCATATTATCCTTCTAACATCTGTCCAACTTACCAAAGCAATACGTCATAATTATCTATGATACAGGTGCTGCATTTTCGTGTATGTATACATTGCATATGCACACTTTGGAATCAAATAGGATGTAAACTGCAAAACTGCAAATTATATTTGAAATAGTTTTCTTTCTTTTTCTCAAAGCATTCAATCATTAGTATTTAGATGTACATGTTTATATTTGTATATATGCTATGTTTACAAATAATGTTTTGTAGCGTAGTATACATGCTGTTAGAACTGACAATATCTTATACAAGTATAGTGTTGATAGTTTTACTTAAGCATTTTTAGTTGTTCTTTAGTAAGATACAGCTATGTCTTTTTCTTTCTTTTTTAAATGTTTTAGTTGTAAGATATCTTTGTACCATTTATCTGAATTTCTTCCATGTCCCAGGTGGGGCCGTCTAAGAAATAAAGCAAACCGTTCAACTTTTCAATATTTTATGCATATCAATATGTTGTACATATTCAAACATATATAAATCAATACATGAAAGAAAATTGACAATACATTGGAAGTCAAACAACAATAGCTGCTCATATTTTGTATCGTATATAAGACACCGGAAGCCTTGGTAGGCCAATCAATGATCGAGTAACATCTTATTCATTATAATGTTGGTTTTTTATGTGTGGCAGAATCAATGTAAGATTATGAAATGCACATACCCAAGCTACAGGTAGGATGTATTTACAATATCTCATGCATGTTATTGTTATGGTTTACACAATTCTTTGTTGTACACCGGCTAGTCTGCGCTGCACATACTCTATTTTGTCACTTGCACAATATTCCATGAAGCTTTGAGCCTAACCTAGATTACTGATCAGTCTCTTGCGATTGTTGATCTGCAGCACAGGGCCTATGGAGTGCAGTTATAGACAAAGAAGTCTTCATAGTCTCATATTTCAGACACACTATTACGTATTACGACAGAAATTAATCCAACTAATACATAAAAGATCATTTAAATAATAACATGAAGGCTATCGGACGAAATTAAGAATTGAGGGTGTATAAACTACTTGAGAGAAATAAATGTTCAAAATCCTAAGGTATTTGTGAGTCTTTTTATTTTACAAGCACATTTGCATCAGGCATTTTCAAGTAGAATATTGTTCTTTAGCAAAGAACAAGAAGAATCTGTGGTCGCAATCAACAGGCAAACCATCCATTTCAACTTCACTGTGCACAAGCTACAAGCAGACCTATACCTTGTGTGGAATTTTCCAGACTCAGTATTTCAATTTCCGTTTAATATGTCCATCTTGAACAAAATGTCTTTACAATATTAAATATGGTCGTTATAGTATGACTTACTACCAACAAGGGGGAACTATATATGAAATGTCGATTATGCTCACTGACGAAAATGATACTGGGACGCACTCTGTGTCTTTGTATGACAATGAACGACCTCTTTGTTTCATTTTCCAACAATATGCATCGCCTGCATAATATTCTAATGAGTGCTAGATATATCCGTTACCATACTTTTAAGATACTTTATAATTAGCTTCTCTTCGCGAACGAAGATTTAAGAGGGTATTACTCGGTCTTCCTGGGGCCCCGTTTCACAAAGCCTTTTTTCAATGACAAATGACAAAAACCAGTGACGAATCTGTTGATAACCAATCAGAAGACAGGACTTCAGTAGCTTATAACAAAGACTGTCATTTGTCACTGATGACAAGCTTTGTTAAACGCCCCCAGTGGTCTGTGCAAGCCCGCCGGTGACTTGGACATACACATCTTGCCAGGTATATTTTGCCAGGGGTAGATCGGAGAAGATGCAGATGTTGTATTATTGTTCTGATTTTGTCAGCGCTGTCTCTTCTCAACTAGTTATTTTTTTTGTATTAGCCTCACAAGACTGAGAAACCTTGGTGAACTTACACCATTACTAAACTGATAGTTCAGCGGGTACATATTTATGTGTAATTACGAGTAAGTGCAGTTGCATATTAATACCAAACAATTCACAATCCCCTGCGATCTACGACATAAAGAAAGAAGACTTGTAGTACTGAATGGTAATTCAGTTGACGCTAAAACAATTCATCATCATAATTATTCATCATATACAATGTATATACATGTATGATTAAAAAGGGTCAATAATCTTGTTAGTTTTAAAAATATTTGGATATTTTGTGTCTTTCTCTTTATCTAAATGATACACAGACATTTACCCCCAAATATGTCATTGGTTGGTTTTCCCTGATCAAAAGTCATTTAATAATCACTTGATTCTATTGTAGAAACATGGCGACAAATGACGTCATAATGACGAAGATGAATGACGTAACTAGAGGGGCGGCAGCTCCCGTTTGAGGGTCAACGTACTTTGTCTTCATCTCCACCCATTCCTTCCCCCTTTGTGATAGCTCAGGTTTGATGACGGTATTGATTTGTTCGTTGTAAGTATTGTACCATTCGATCTGAAGAGAGAGGGAGAGAGAGAATCAAAAACGAAAGGTACTGTGACGTAATAAAGATATGATACGTGACGACAATGTGAGAAGAAAAAAATAATAATAAAGTGTAAAAGAGAAGGAAAAATGAATCATCGACACATTGGTAGACACCAGAAGAAAAGATTGAAGAGAAACAAACAATATCAGGAGACAGGCAAACAACAAACCAAAACCATTCAAAAAAGAGGAAAAGAAGAGTAAGGGGACGGAGCAAATTGAATTCGAAAAAGATAACTGCCCCTATGGAAAAAATGCTGGTAAGGGTGTCCCATCCCGCAAATGGTAAATAATTTAAATAGAATAAACACACCTCCTGTGCCTCCTTCCCCAATCCTCCATATTTGTGGTCTTTGTTCTCATTTGCATCTGAACCATCTAGTAAGAATACCCCCCCCCCTCCCCCTCTCCATGAAGCAAGAACCCCCTGGTTAATTAGGCAGACAACCAATACAGACAAACCATGCAAACAGAGAGGCCAAATAGCAAAATAGGTGATGAGCTGACATTAACTGCGACAACTGCTTCTTGGACTTTAATTCGTCAAAAGCTAAAGGGTTGGGGTTACAATTGGGTTTTAGGTTAGGGTTAGAGTTAACCAAGCGCGTAGCCAGGATTTCATTTTAGGGGGGCGGTAGTGAGCACGGGAAGCGTGCGAATCATTTACAAAGCGCTCCCTAGGGGGGGGGGGGCGTGGGTGCAGGGAGGGGGGGGGGGGGGAGAGACACACACGTACAAACATAGAGACGACAGGGGATGGAGAAAGTGATAGGGGTGTCTTACCTGCTTGGTGGTCATGAGGGTGAAATCGATCAATGTTGGCTCAAAAGGCACCATTGAGATCATCTCAAACGTCATGTAAGTGTAGTCGTTGAATTGGTGCTGAATAGTAGAAGAAAAGTATTCATGAATTAACTAGATTAGAGCAATTATGAAGATTGAAACAAAATTATGGCCTTTAGAAGATAGTAAGAGGACATACTTCCTAAAAGCAACAGCAGGAAATATACGTAAAAAGGAACACTTATCAAAGGGCAATGATAAGATAAGAAAAAGGACACTAGCAACATTACCAAGAGCAATTTATGCTCATTGACAGAGGCACTTATCAAAGGTAAAAAGGTGCATTAATTTTTTTTAAAGGGGAAGGAGCGCTTATTACAAAAGGAGATGGGGTATTTATCAAAAAGGAAAGCACTCATTAGACAAAAATAAGGGGCATGTGTCAACGTTAAAGGGGCACCTCTCGCACCTGGAAAGAAAGTATTTATAAATTAAAAAACAAAACTATATTAGAGCAGTGTTTTAACAGTGATATGGATTTATAAGTTATGGTCGTCTTGTGAAAGCGGTTTGTGACTCATATCATTTTTTTTTTTTACCAAAACAGCAAAAGGCCTATATGTTTGTTTTTTGTATTTCGAAATTCAACAACATTCCAAATTCAATTTTCGTATTTATTTTGTGGTTTTAACATTTTCTTGCCTTTTCTTTTCTTTTCATATATTTTTTTTCCTTTTTTTTTCGTTACCTTTTTTCTTCCCCTCAATGTTTTCCCCTTTCTTATCTTTACATTCCCTTCCTTTCCTTTTGTTCACCTTCTTTTTCCATATCTTTTTTTTTTCCTTTCGCTTCCTTTCAATTCATTTCCTTTCCATTTCTGCCCTTCCTTTCCTTCTCTTTTATCTTCGTTTTTTTAATGTTCTCCTGTCTTAAATTTGACTTTTGTTTTTTCAGATGCAGAATATAAATTTGATTTAACGAAAAGCTGCTTCATATACCTCTGTCGCGGCCTCCTTAGCAAACATGACATTTTCAATTCTAATTCCGAATTCTCCATCCTCGTAGTAACCAGGCTCTGAAAGCAGCAAAAGAAATTTGAAGAAAAATATCAAGTTTAGTTCATATAAGTATCTAATACCGATTCAGATGAGTTTAGATGCTACATTGTATCCTCCGTCACACTGAGAATATTTCACTATAAAATAGATTGAGAGACTTTGGCCTACCATCAATCAGTAAAACACCAAAGGTTAATGGATATTTAGTTCTTCAACGAGTTCTAGGAACATTTCTCTTTACCATACAATTTTAAAATACACATAAATTCATAGCTCAATACAAATCATTATTTATTTTCTAGAGGCCTTCAAACTTTCAAAGTTGTCAAAGTAATGTCCATCCACGACAAACTGATCATGCAGACTCACCCGGAGTCATTAAAATGACTCTGCATCGACTCCGAATCGACGGAATCCTGGCCTTCATGCTAATATGATATATTTAGCATCAATAAAAATCGAAAAATTCAGTTCTTAAAAGCTTTTAGAATGACGTTATACAAACCTACGATGGTGAACAGTTCTTCAAATTCTACTCACCATCAGAAAAGAACATGCCAGTATAAATAGGGTCGTGTCGGGAGCTGTAACCAAGACTAATACTCGCTGGACCTATGATATACAGAGAGGATATACAGATTTGTACTAAATAACGCCATGTTTTTTTCTTCCTATTTATACCTACCGTCTGAGAAGAACATGTTTTGATGAATAGGTTCGTGAGCAGCACTGTAGCCGAGATTAATGCGACCAGGACCTGGTGGGGAAAAAAGACATCAAACAAGCGATGGGCACCAATGATTTTTGCAACAAATATGAAAAGCATGATGAAGGTATTGGGCCTAGTTTTTGAATGAATCATCTATGCCCTGTGAATGATAAGTATCAGTGATTTGCAGATCTTGTAAACATGCATGCTTTGACGGCTTACGCTCTTTCGACAGTTGCTCCGTGGAAATTTCTTAAACATAACCCAAAACTAATTTGAAACCTAATTGCAACCCTAACCCTATATTTTTGAATAAATATAGGTTTTCCCGTTCAATTTTGCAGTTTGGCTATTTGGTTTAATGATAAGAGCATTCCCATCCACAATAGTTGTGATTGCCACGGCAAACTTATCGTTATTCATGCAACAAGCTCTTCAAATGAGTCGTGCATGTATATTTGTATAAGGAGCATGCAATTGAATGAATGGTCAGTCCATTTCTTTTTCTATCGTTCTACGTTGTTATCAGTGCAGACAAACAAAACATCTTCAAATGAGTCGACTGAATTAAGTAAATGAGCGTGCAATTTTAAAGGGGTGGGCATTTGAAATATCTTTTCCCTCGTGCGAATTCATCATATCCTTCCATTTTATTGTTTTCAAACGAGTCTTTCACATATAAACTGGGAGCATACCATTTAATAAATAGGCATTCAAAATAAGATGCCGATTGCCTCGGCTTTCCTTCAGTAATTTAAATGTTTTAAAGAACAAGCTTGTTTTCGATAGGGGCATTATATTTAAGAAACATGGTCCATGACCAAGTATTTTGAGTATGTACCGTATGTAGGCCTACCATGCCCATTTTTCATCAAATTGTGTTCATGATCACTTCACACTAACTATCCCCTAAAGGCCCCATATCAACATGGTGAAAATGAAGGGGAAAAAGGATGTTAACGTGAAGAATAAAAGCCGACATGTACCAGCCATGAGGTGTAAACAAAATTAAGAAAACATGCAAAATGTCATGCAATTATTTGAAATTGAAACTCCAGAATGTATAAAAAGAATATTGATGTAAACAAACAAAGAAATGAACAGTCATACTGTTTTTGTAAACATCATACAAATATGACAAGTTTCAAAATCTGATGACTTTGTATATGAAGCAGCGAGCAATCCCATGAACAAAAAAGGGATAAACATGATTAATGACACATCCAGCGTATGCGCGGTATGTTTCTTACACGCACACGAACTCGCGCACGCACACACGCACAACACACATATATACACGCACACACATACATATATATATATATATATATATATATATAGTATAGAGACAAAAGACACAAACACGCACACAGCGCATAAAAAACATACGGAATCCATGAAACCAAATGAACGAATCAATAACTTGAATTCCCCCAAAATGTAATTGATTGCCCAACAGGCTCTTCATGTCTTCTTTTTGATAATTTAAGATATCGTGAACGCGGGTGGAATGAAGATTACGAGTACAACGATAATATTCACATTTATTCTTATTACATGTTCTAAAATGTACATTACTTTACTTATTTTTTCATGTACATATATATTGATGTAATTACTTTTTCATTTATCATTCTATCACTCTTTATTTTCATGTATTTATTTACTTAGTGAGTTATTTCTCTTATACATTCATTCATTTTTGTGATCAAATCTTTTAGTCATTCATGTTATTCCAGCAATAATCTTTTTTAGTTTTGTTAGTTTTTTTTTCCTTTCCTCCTGTGTTTATCAGTATTGTTAATTTATTAAAACATGATATATGTATGGCTATCATATTAGTCTTTTTTCTGGAAACAGGTTCGAATGGGCTTTTGTGTATCAAATCAAATTTCATATCAAATCAAATCAAATTAATTCAAATCAAATGAGAACAAATCAAATCACATCACATCAATTCAAATCAATTCAAATCAATTCAAATCAAATCAAATCAAATTCAAATCAAATCAAATCAAATCAGATCGAACCAAAACAAACCAAATCGTATTAGATTGAAAAGAATCTATTCACATATTACCTTCATGGACATTAAGGAAGTGACCAATACCGTGTCCAGTACCATGGCGGTAGTCCAGACCTCCCTCCCATAGGGGCTGACGTGCATGGGCGTCAATTTCACGACCTTGGTGGATGATTAAAATGATAATAATAATAATAATAATAATAGTATGTCCATTTATATAGCGCAGCTACTATATGCATTATACTCCCCTGCATTATACAACGTATCACAAAATTACTCCGGCTGTAGCTTAGCCGCCATGATAAGCTGCTAAAGCATTCGAGGAATTTCCTCCAACCGGGTACCCACTTAATTCATCACACTGGATGGAGAGTGGAAAATAAAGATGAATGTCTTGCCAAACGACAGTGGTGGGATTCGAACCGCGAACCATGTGATCAAAGTCAGGACACGTATCAACTAGACCACGACACCTCTACAAAATGGACTATATATCATTAGGATTTAAGGCAGTATAGAAGAATTATTGGGCCAAATTACCAGTATTTTATAAATGTAATCAATAGGCTGTTCCTTATGGCATTGTGTTTATGACTTTTTATAGATTAAAGTTAACAACTGAACATAGAATGACGATGTTGCATTAAATTTATGCAAAGTCGGGCAGCCCTGGATCTAAACGTAAAGCACATCACATAGAGGGCTCAATCTGGACATTGTTTCACAAATCTTCTTGTCAATAAAAAATGCAAAATTTCTATGACTTATTTGCTCTCAATCTATCACATGCAGCGATTCAGGTAGCATATAGCAGTGATTGCAATTTGTTATTGTTTATGAAACAGGGCCCTGGGTGAGGAACTCTTTTACTAGGGACTTTTAGATTGAGTGGACGAGAACACGACGAACGCCGACTGACCATGCGTGTCAACGTACTCAACTGCCCATGTTGACTACAATTAGAAATCTTTTAGATTTCACTCGACGGTATACATGCATGCAGGAAGTAACACTATGAACATGACAGACAAGAAAGAGGACAAAATATACAGTTCCTCATTCTACCCTCAACAATAGGCCATTTTCGTAATGTAACCAAATTTAATGCATAGGTAGATCTAGCCATAATGTTTGTCCAACCTGGCAACAACTAATGTATGCAGTTCGGACTATGTCTATTGAAATACTATTATTCTTATCAGGTGAATGAAATAATCTGTATTTAGGCACTTCACAAAGACTTTTGCATTAAATTTGGTTACATTACGAAAATGGCCTATTGCTGTGGTAGAACATCCCTTCACTGCTATATAAAAATGTGTAGAACAGGTGAATATGCATGTGACACCTGTTCTACACATTTGTACATAATAGCAGGGAAGGGATGTTCCTTTGTCTACCTGAGGAACTGTATATTTTATGCGCACGCGGCATATATACTAGTACCGTACTAGATTTAGGAAAATCAAGGTTGACGCATTCTCTATCGCCGACCGAGACGACGTGACGCATGCGCAGTGCCTTAAAATGACGTCACACGTTGCAGTCAAAGCTGTTAACGTGCAAATCTAAAAGTCCCTAATGCCAACTTACCATACACTCCCGTCCTGAAAGTGGCCAAGACCAAATTAATATGACCCATGAGTACCCTCGTATAGGCTTCCTACAACATCATTAAATAATGAGAAGGAGACAAGAAGATAAAATAAGATTGAACATCAAATCAGTGTATAAACTTCTTATAATATCATTCACAAATAGGAAGAGTACAAAAGAATAGGCAAAACATACGTTTATATAGCAGTGCATAGGCGTAAACAAGACCATGAAGTACAAGAGAAGGAGGTATTACAAAAAGATGCTTTATTATAATCAAATTGATCGAAGAATGAAAACATTTCGACCAATGCTCGAAAAAGTTGTACGGATCTTATCTCAAAACCTAGTTTTTGCCAACGATTAGTGATAATCAGACACGAGTTCTCGTTTCGCACCATACATCGCGTCTAAGGTGCCCAAGTAGGCCTACAAATAAAATGCATCCGTCCCCAAAATGATACCAGCTTAAAATAGAAATAATTCTGCCAAGGAAGTATTTTTAACTCACCTTCATAAAATTTGTTGGTTCTCCAAAGTGGAAAGAACGTGTGATGTCACAGGTTCCCTGACTGCAAAGAAGGTGAATAAAAAAAATTGAAACTATCAGCATCTACAGGCCTTTCACCGGGGCATCGCTGGAGGGGTGTAGAGTCGGAAGTCGCCCCCTTCTAGGTATTATGTAGGCAAATTATGTAATTCGCAAATCTTTCTTCCACGAAATGCAACTAACGGTCTTTTTTTAAATTAAATGTACACACCTATCTTGTCAACAAATTTGGTCCGAACAACCCCCCCCCCCCCCTATTTGCAAATGGTGACACCTTGTGACAATGACCTAACAAAAACAATTTTGATATCAGATAAGATGTCTCTACATCATCGAGTTTTCACAAGTCTGGGGAACATTTTGTGAAGGAGCAGAGCGGCCGAGCAATGACGTGTGTGTGTGGAGGGGGGGGGGGGGGCTGTTCCCTGCCTGTTGACGTCCCTGGATTTACTTACAGGTACTGTCCACCAGAATCAAGTAGGAAGATTCCTTGGTTTGTGATTGGTATATCAGTCTCATTAGATGACCTGTAAGGGAGGTAGAAAACAAATCAACCTATAATCTTGGAAAATAACAAAACAGGAGGCACAATTATTTCCCCTATCCACAGGGTTCTTTATTTAGAAATCTCATATAACAGTAACAAATAAATGTTAATATTTATATACACAATGGTGAAAACGGCCAAAACAAATTGGGACAGAGAAATACAAAAATGACAAAATGAAAATGTTGGTACATGTGATCTATCCGTTTCTTTCTTATTACTATATCTTATTATTTTTTTATTCTGGACTCCACACATTCAAATGGGACTACGTGTCTACGTCTGTGTATTCGATTCCAGCTGAAGAGTTTGTAATCTCGCAATTGTTTAAAAATATTTGAAACTATAATACCTTTGGTTTTGTCTCAAGGCGCACTTTTGTTTATTCAATTTGATGTTTATTAATATGTGAGGTTTAAGGGGTACTATAAAGAGGGACGAAAGAGGGGCGAGAGAATGGAAGGGGGTAATATGGTTAACGATATAAGGCCACGATTGCGGTGAAAGGAAAAGACAAAATATTAAACAGACGAGGGAAATACAAAAATCTAAACAAATGTCTTATGATTGCATCAGTGAATCCATGGTATCATTTTGTTCTTACGTATAATGAATAACGGCTCCGTTCGCCCCAAATGATGAGATCGTTCCAAAACTGAGACCCTTGTTGGTTGGGTGTACGCTGAAACAAAATAAAAAGTAAAGTGATGTATAACAAATTAAACTCATTCATTGTCTCATGAGCCATCTATGCATTCCACATAAACCTTCGTCATTCTACCAGACCGGCTCCAAACCGACGCCAGACACACCGACCGATTTTTAGCCATGTAGTGTTCGTTTGATCGGTGTGTTGTGGGTCTGATGGCAGTATCATCGGTGTGACTTGGTTATTACAAAACCTTTTACCGAAATACATTATATCTACAATAGGCCTACATTATTAAATGCAACAAAAATAATGATTGCAAGTTTTAATATTAGCAATGTTCGGTTACATTATTATCAACTCTGTTTCATTTCGGAGGTATTATTTTCAAATTTCACTCTAGGAAAAATATAGGATTAACTTTGTCGTCATAACAAATATGTTTTTTTAAAGATTTTGAGTATCTAAAATGGTATTCAATTTGAGAAATAAAGACATGAATGTACCTGCGAAAATATATTGCCTGTTGTTCAACGATGAGCTCGCTAAGAACGCTTTTATCTCCAACTGCGGGGTCCTGTTGTAAATTGTAATGAAGAGAAATGAACACATTAATACACTGTTAGAACGGTGTTTAAAATATCACTGTTTAAAAGAATGTTGTTTAAAAAAGTAAACAACGTTGTTCAAAATCGAAAAATCAGTGCTCGATTGACTTAAACAACTATGTATTAAAAGACAAAAATATTTAATTAAACAGAGTTGTTTAAAAAGTCCCGGGGGCGTCGTTGATATTTTCTCGATACGCGATTGCTATTTGCGCACACACATGCGATATGCACAAAGTACGTACATAATACATGCATGCAAGCATGCAGTGCTAGTGTGTGCAGTGCAGTGCAGACGAAAATGGCGGAACAAGGGCAAGGCGACGACTTGGTTCTTTTCGGCTTCGCCGATGGGTTTTAGGTGAAGTTATAGAGACAAATAATAATGTTGTCTGTCACTGCCATGAATATGATGAACAAATGTTGAAGTAAATTGGCAACAAGCTCTGCATGTTGCAGTGTATAAATCGTTGTGATTATTGCAGGAGTGGTTCCAGTAGGTCATTTCACAAATTCAAACAACCAGATAATAACCATTAAACAGTTAAACCATTTAAGCAACTCCTTTTAAACAACCCAGTTGTGCAGTAATACTGAATAAACAACGGTTGCTTAGTAATTTAAACATTATTGTTTAAAATCTAAACAACTTGCTTTAAACAACCGAGTTGTGCAATTTTATTACTAAACAACTGTTGTTTAAAAGGTTTTCTAATTTTTAAACAACTAAGTGTTCAAAATGTAAACAACCTTAATTTGTTTAATTTTTAAACAACGTTGAGCGATTCACCGGTTAACTCGGGGTTGTTTAAAATTTTAAACAACTTGTTTATTTTTTTTCTAACAGTGTAATGCAATATAATAAAACAATAATATAGCCCGGTGCACATTGCACGACTAGAGAAATGGTAATTAGATTAGTTGTAGAAATCTATTTTTTTTAAGTTTTATGATGATTTTTTTTTGATTTTATTGATTTTATTTCGATTATTAAGATTTAACAGGTTCATATCAAATACTGTTGTGAATTCTTCCAAAATCAGATAGCAGTCGGCTACTCCCACCCCTCCCCCCTCTCTCTCTCTCTTCTCCCTCCCCCACGCACGTCGAGTGGTAAATACCCACCCCCAAAAAAGTGTTTGAAATCAGGCCAGAAAAAAAGACATTTGGCTACCTCCCGCACCATTTTCCGAGTAAAACCGGTGCCAACCCATTATATTCCAATGCCTGCCCCTTACAGTTTATGGACAGGGAAACACAATTGCAACAAAACCTGATAGGATTCCGGTTTTCTAGGTACTTTTCAGGACAAACAAGAGTGTCAGAACAAAATTCGATATAATATACTTACGTCTAAGCTATCCATGGTCTCCTGCAACCATCCACCAAGCTCACACAGAGAGATAGAATCAAGACGCTGTAAAAAGAAGAAGATTGGGCGATTGATTCATTGATTGATTGGTTGACAGTATCGTTGAATAATATGTCTAATGGTTGGTTGATTGATTTAATAGTTGACTGACTGGTTGGTTGAAAGATTGCCTATTAGTTTAATTGACTGACTATTTATTGATTAGTTGATTGATTGATCGATCGAGTGATTGACTGATTGATTGTTTAATTGATTGATTATTTGATTGACTGATTGATTGGCTATTTGTTTGCTTTGAATTGTTGTTTGGTTGATTAGTTGTTGATTGATTGATTGGGTTTTTCCAAAATGTTTATTAAGACTTTAAAAAAATTTACGTTGTTTTGCTGTTTTTGTTTTAATGATATCAATAAAATCGTTCATTAAGGAGCGCTTACCCAAACAAAATAAGAATGTGAACAAAATATATAATTCGCATTAAGTTACTGAGGTTGAAGGGATCCTTTGAAAGAGCCGAGACAGTTAAATTCTCTGATGAAAAGTGGAATATTGTTCCATGTTTTCCGAAGCCACTATAAAACGTTTTACGATTAATGAGATCCTAGATTTGGGGATAATTAGCTCATATTTGTAAGTAATGTTGTTGAGCGTAGGGGTGAAGGTGTTAATTAATTTTGTTCAGCTTTGCTTTGGTCTGTCTTACATGTGCTTCCTTCATTCCAGCCACTTCGGTCGGGTTCTTCTGTGACTTGATAAGGAGGATAGGTGACGCCTCAATGTAAGCCTTGTCCTGAAACACATCAACAAAAAATAGATGGAAATTAGGATGGGATAGACACATGAGCAAAAGGTGACAGGATAATAATAGTAATACAAGTTGCAATTCATATAGCGCCCTTCCACTTGATGATAAGTGCATAAATATGCCATCCACGAATCAGTGTTAGTGTGTGAATAAACAATTAGTGACACCGTGAATTCGATGAAAATACATGATTATAGATATTTTAAAAAAATTAAATTTTGTATGAATTGTTCTATATACTGTTGGTAATGATTTCAGTTGAGGAGGGAGTCTGTTCCAGAGTTCATATTAAATGCACTTACCATCCACTCTCTAATAGGAGTCAATTTTATTATCATTATTGTTGAGTAGAAGTAGTAGTACTAGTAGTAGTAGTTGTAGTAGTAGTAGTAGTAGTAATAGTAGTAGTAGTAGTAGTAGTAGTAGTAGTAGTAGTACATGTAGTAGTGGTAGTGGTAGTTGTAGTAGTAGTAGTAGTAGTAGTAGTAGTAGTAGTAATTTTAGTAGTAGTAGTAGAAGTAGTATAGTAGTAGTAGTAGTAGTAGCAGTAGTAGTATTTTACGATTACACATATTAGTATTATAACTATTAACATTAATGATTAGGCCTATCATAATAAAATTATTATTATTATCACTAATATTATTCGCAATAATAATTTTTATTTTTTAAAATAATTATTACGATCATTATCGTACCTCTGGAATTGAGGTGTAGATGAAATAACTTGAAATGTCGCTGAACCAGATCTTTTCGTTATCACCATTAGCTAGGGTAGGCAGCTCCGTGGCAAACAGATCGTAGTCCTTCACAGTAGCGCATACTATAGGGCAAACAGATAGATGCCAAATTGTCATTAAATCATAATACGGGTGCTGTTTGAGATTTAGAAGGAACTGGTTAGTATCAAGATACATCATATGACACATTATTAAGAACGAAATGAACCTTGTGGATTCCTATACAAAAAACAACATTCGTGCGGATCAGGGTAGTCCTTCTAAAAAATGGTAACTAATTATCAAACTAACTAACTATCTAACCAACCAGCTAACTAACTAAATAAATAGATCAACTGAAGAACAACAAATCTATAATTAAATGTATGATTTTGAAGCAAAAATGGTACAGGAATATACAACTTTCATTGGCTGGGGTAATCATAACATGAAGTTCCAACCTTCGATAAAGATTGGCAAGTTTAATTCTGTAAATAAGAGAGGGGGATCACACGGTGCATTGTATGGTAAATTTATAACATTGTTTTACTTTGCGTTTAACGTGCGATTATAAAATACGCTTACAAAACAGTAGTAATATTACACAGAACACGGTCGCGAAGGCTTTCGAAACTCAACTCAATGCAATTCCAGTAGCATTATTATTATTAATGACGTATTCCATAATCCGAACATGATTTTATATGGGATATACAATTGGGTTGTGAATAGGCCTTGAGGTGATTTGCCGAAAGGCTCTGCGATCATTTAAAAGTCTCAGTTCTATGTGAATATTATCTTAAGCTATGGTCACAAATCAGAGCGGCGACCGACCGATTAGTAGCCTGCTCGGTCGCCGCTGGAATTTAGGCATCGCCCAGCGATTTTTTGGGGGAGAAGTTGAGCAGGCTGTAGAGCCCCAGCGATGCCTGGGCGGCGCCCTGTCGATTTCCCGTCGGTCGCCGGTCGATTTTAGGTCAAAACTGGGCGAAATCGCGGAGCTTTTCCGCGCATTGTCCCGGCAGTGACCGACCGGTGACCCACCGATTCCCTAGCAGTCTCCCACCGGTCGCCGGCTGATTTTAAAGATATTGCACGGCGGCCGGCCAGTGATCGACGGGGCTCCAAAATACGCTCGGTGCCCGGCCGTTCACCGCCCGAGCACCGAACTAATATAGCGTTCGCCGCCGAGCGATTTAGGTCCAAAATCGAAGCCGCTAGGTCAAAGACCGCCGACCGATTTCGGACTCGCCGCCCAGTGACCTACGGATCTCCAAGTGGCGACCGAGCGGCGACTGCTCGACAGCCTTTGACCTAGCGGCTTCGATTTTTGACCTACATCGCTTGACGGTGAACGCTCGACTAGGTCGTCGCCCGGGCGGCGACCGCCCGGTCACCGAGCGTAGTCTGGGCGGCGAGTGAAAATGAGCAGGCGCCGCCCGAATTTTAACTCCGCGCTTAAACTTCAGCAGCGACCGACCGATGCCTTAAAAACAAGCGGTGCCTGGGCGGCCGCCGCTCGGTGGCCGGGCAAAATTGGCCCAAAACTCGCCGCTCTGCCGCCGGGCAGGCTACTTTTGGGTAATGTGACCATAGCAAAACGGTCACACAGGGAGGTATTCCGAGTAAGAGTACAGCTCCCCCCCCAAAAAAAAAAAAAAAAAAATGAAAAAAAATGAAGAAAAAAAATGAAAAAAATAAAAATAAATAAATAAATAAAACAAAATGAAAAAAATAAAATAATAATAATAATAATAATAATAATAAAATAAAATTAAAAATAAATAAATAAATAAATAAATAAATAAATAAAATAAATACACAAAATATTAAATTAAAAAAATAACAATTCCTCTTCAAGTCTTACTGTCAGTGCCGCAACTGTCAACGTTCAAGTGTGTCCGGACTGCAGAAACGGCATCAATTCTTCCAGCTTTGTCATAAGCGTAGAGCCTACAGAACGAATTTTGATTAAACACATGACATAATTATAACATACTTTTTGTTTTAAAGTACCATGAGCGCAGAGAATGAACGGGCCCTGTTTTTACTACAACTCTACAACTATTGAGAAGAAGAAACAAAAGGGGAGCTATCTCTCTTTTTCTCTCTTTCTCTCCCACTCTCTCTGTCTCTCTTTCTTATTTTCTCGTTTTATCTCTTTGTTATGTTAAGCCATATCAGGACAATTATCCCCGGAAAACTACCCCCCCCCTTTCAAGGACAAGGGGGTAATTTTCCTCGGGGGTGGTTGTCCACGGGGACCGGTAATTTTCCACGGGGGGATTTTCCGGGGGGGGGGGTAATCGTCCTTGGGGGGATTGTCCCGCTGGTAATTGCCCGGGAGGTAATTGTCCCGCTGGTAATTGTCCGGGAGGTAATTGCCCAGGGGGTAATAAAACCGACATTTTGCAATGAAATAAACACAAACTGACAACTATGCGATGTATCTTGCGAGGTCCCCTCCCAGTGGCTTATACTAAAAAACTTTAGAAATCTATATTTTCCCTGAAGAACATTTCCAATCATACCTTTACTCTAAACAAAATGCAACTATGTTTGTATACAACCCTTCTATTCTGTCAACACAAAATAAGAAAATGAAAGGTTATGAATAGTTATGTACTGAGTAGATTGGAGAGGAGTTCGCAGTATACGTCACAGTGTTGCCAATTTGTTTTTCACAGATGACAACTTCAACATTTCATAACTTTCCTATTTTTAATTGGAAATTTCTCAAACATTCACTAATAATACTATTTAATACTATTCCCTATTGTAGTATTTGTCGTAGGGTTATATAACCGTTATAGTTTTCATCGGTAGACTCTATTTATCATATGAATATAACCATTTTTTTCTTTTTAGCATTCAAAAAATGATAATAAATTTACTTACCTGACGTCGTTCAATTCAACGACGGCGTATGCAATGAACATAGGATTGTAGGGGATATCCTCCCCACGCATGTTGAATAGCCCTAGAGAAACGGGGGACAAAAGTAGGGGGAAAAAGCAAGAGAAAATATAAAAAGCCTGGTGTAAATAAATACGTCAATTAAAGTTCGGAAACTTTGGTGTTAAAGATAAAAGCATGTACCTCACTGTTTACCCTCTCTAAATGTAAGAGAGTGGAAATCCATTCTTTTAGGGGTCATATTAGAATCTTTCTTTTTGGGGGAATGGAAATCCACGCCAACAAAATTGTTGAATGCCATGTACAAGGAATAAATGCAAACCACTATTTAGGTCGGAGTGGATTCCACTATAGTCTGGAGTGGAGTCAAGTCTAACTCCTTTAACAAAATCGTTTTCCACTCCTCCCCAAATTCGCGAGAAAAAAAAATTGGTGACATAATTTCAGTTAAAATTTAGCATAGTGTGAAAGAGGATATCATTCAAGACACATTTTTGTCAAATTCCCACCCCCCCCCCTCCCCAAAAAATAAAATAAAAAATAAATAGATAAATAAAAAAAAAACATATAAACAAAATACATAATTCAGATTTTGTGTTGTAGCCTACGCAAAACACCTTAACTTTGTATTATTTCGTGAATATTTGAGTTCAAACACATTTTTTTTTTAATCCTTGCAGAAATGTGCCTTAAATGAAACCCTCTTTCACATTTATGATACAATTTAAATAAAATTTGACCATCAATCTAGGGGGCTCCCAACTCTTTAGAGGGGCTTTAAACGGGGATCTGCCACTTTCAAACGATCCCTTAAAACATACTTCTTCCCTCAGTAATTTAATATGAGTTTAATATTTATCTTCACATTCTGTTATTTTGCAAGCGCTTTGGTCCATTTTGTTGATAGCGCTCTTAAAAGACGGTTACGAATTAAGTGTGGCATATGTGTGAGACCACCAACGAAAACCTTTGTTGGCATTGAATAATAGGAATAAATTGAATTGAGAGAATCCGTTCAGATTCCTAACTCGGTTTCTTTCTTTTGACAAACTCAGAGGTCGTCAACAAAAAATAACATCGATGTACATACAAAAAATAGCATTTAATGTTGTACTGCCTGTTGTCCTTGGGGTGCTTTAAAGATTACACGACCGCGAAGACTTTCGAAAAATCAAGTCAATAGTGATTTCCATATCTTATTGTACATCCCATATAAATTATATTCAGATTACGTAATTAATTACGTAAGGAATCGGACGAGGCTTTGGAAACCGGTTTAAATAAGTCTATTTTTCGAAAGGCGTTGCGATCATGGGGCATTGCGATCATGGGGCATATCGTATAAATGTGGATACACGTGAATTACTTACACGCGACTTCATCAAGTTTGGGGACGATGAGTTTAGTAGCTCCAGCTCTAGTCATCTCCGCCCTGATATCCGTTATCTTATCTTCCCACGACATCCCTGAAACACGTAGAGAAAGACATGGCAGTTTAGATATTAGTACATACATTAATAAGATGTTAAAGAGTAGTTTTACAACCCAACCTATTTATAATCAATGAGTAAAATGTTTGTAACGGAGAATTATGTGTCCAGCAAAATTTGGACATTTTTTGTTACCCAACTTGAGCAGTATGTTGATAATTTCAAGTAATTATTCTTCATTTTGACCGTAGTTGGACATTACACTGGTTGAGTAAAAATATTTTCAAAAAAAGGTCCAGAGTTGGAAGGACATATAGTTGCCATCCCGCTGTGCAAATCATTATCCAATATTTGTAGAGTGCACCGGTCCTAATGGTGGCCGTTGATCCTGCACAACTAGCGTAACAACGACTACCAAAAGACAATATTTCCTTCATAGTAATGAAGAAATCGAATCGCGATTATTTGGCTGAGCGTTTTGCGTGCGAACAAAGGGAGATAACAGCGCTTTCATCCCGAACATGAACGGTGGCCGAAAAAAGGGGAAATTCGATTTGCGATCCAAATCTCACTAAATTTTGTGTGTGTATATCTTTGCCTCTAGGCGCGTCAAATATTGCGCCAGCCGCTGACACAGTCGTGCGCCATGCAACTGACGGAACGTGTATTACCAGAGTACTCTGTATCAAGGACAAGTAGGGGCATGTCCGGGTAGCCGGGCTGTGTGCCGAGAGCATTCCAGGTCAAATCCACGAGGTTGGCTGCTGCGTTAGCTACCATAGTCAGGTTACGACCAGACTCTTCCAGCGAACTCAAGTAACTCTGAACCGTGCCTGGTTAATGAGAGGAGGAGAAGAAGGAGAAGAGAAAATCAAAATGAAGGTGTTCTACTGGTTGGAAGATACATGGTCTAGCGACAATTGCTCTGTGGTCAATATTGTGCACTAATTGAGTATGTTCATTTCAAACCCTTGACCAATCACTATCCGGAACCAAGCCCAAAGTCCAATTTCAACCATAAACCTTTGACATCCTTGCCAAATTAGTATCGTTGCACAGAAGGCCCCGGAGATGACAGTTGTTATCGCTGGGAAAGTTAGAAATAATCTATAATAATGAAGGAAATAATATTTTCCATCTTTAAGAGAGGACTCAAAATGAATATCATGGATTATCGTTCTCAAAAACTAATGCAAGAAGTTTATTTCCCTTCATTTTATTTATTCAACCATTTAAAAATCCCACATAAAATATAATTGTATACAAAGTAATACAGGTTAGGAGCCCAACAGAAGCAAAAGTTTGTAAACAGGGCCCCTTGAGTGAAAGCACACAACAATTAATTTCAAACTTTGTAGGCTACAAGATATCTTATGAAAACGAAAGAAACCTCCCACGAGAAAGAAGGGTTCAAAGTTATATTATGTGATAGATTATCGTTTCAAATGTGAACGTTACTACCTTTAAGCCTAAAATGTTTCTACAAGCAAAACCTTCATCAATTTCTCTCAAACTACATAGCACGCAAAAGATTGTGTAAAAAGCAAGGTTTTTAGTACAAAATGCACTTTGTGATAGATTATCGTGTCAAGAGTAATCGCATTTCCCCATAGTTGTATAGTAAGCAAATAACTACCGTTGCTGAAGGTGATGGGATAAAATAACACTTCCGAGGCGATCTGGATGTAGCTATCTTTCCGAAGCGAAGATGAGGAAAGATAGCGTATACATTCTGATCGACGAGGAAGTGATAGTTTGCCATCGCCTGAAACCAAAAGGTGATTATTTGCTTTATATTCCACATACATCTAAAACAATTTAACTACAAAAAGAAAAGGACGTGTATGCATCTACATGAAAGACACCAGGCCCAAACTACACCAAAAAAGTTAAAAGTTTAACCCAACCCCTTGAGGGTACGATGCGCGCATGTGTTTGCTTTAATTGAGCTCATTGGTAATGCGCGCTTAATTACGCATGTTTTAGTGTGCTTTTGGATAATCTTCAGTGAAAGTGCGTTGCCCTGTGTAGATAGTACCTCTTTCTTCAGTGAAAGTGCGTTGCACTGTGTAGATAGTAGTACTATCTACACAGTGTAACGAACTTTTTGCTTCTCCCATCAATAATGGGCGAACTATCTTTCATCACGTGATTTACTTTTGACGATTCGTAGAGCAAGATTGGAATATAATAAAAACTATTTCAGTGTTGTCAACTTCAAATTGTTTTACAGGATAGGCTACTAGAGCGTTAATTCATGTAACAACAAAACAATTTCGTGTTTTAGTTTGAGAGTTTATGAACCTCGTGATTGATTAGAAACTTCGAGGATAATCATTGTTTTTCCCATTTTGGGGTAAGACTAAAAAGTGCCCAGGTGTATACCTTAAAAAAATATATACAGTACATGGGATATTTTTTCATGTGTGTTCCGAGTCTTTGGTAAAACACATTAGGGAGGATAAAACAATGAAAGGATTCTGAAAGATTCTGAATAAAACTTTAACAATTAAAACATTTACTATAATTCAATTTGCTCGCTATTCTAAATTGTGTATAGGTTCGTACTTTTTCCACATATAATTATGCTGACCTGATTCGGGGAGGTGGGGAGGGGGTCGTAGTTGTATTTCATTTGTTAATATCTTATCATTTGTTAGGTTCGCTTTTCCGCTAAGTCCATGATGTTTGGAAGGGGATAAGAAGACGAGTTGTGTCCAAAGTCTAGACGGAGGACTATTTCAGTTACTTACTTATGGACATGAGTCTCGGGTCGTAGCCAATCATAGCTCCTTCGGGTAAGTCGGCCCCCATGGTAGCATCGATGCTGTCACTAATCAGCCATTCAGTTGTGCTGGGAACTCCTACCTCGCCTGATATCGAAGAAGGACAGGGGAGAGTGGGAGAAGGAGAGTTATGCAATGAAAGAGAGATACAGAGAGAGAAAGAGAGAAAAAGAGAGAGAGAAAGAAGGAGAGAGACAGAGGAGAAGCAGGGTTGGGGCGGAGGGTGTTAGGATGAGAGGAGAGAGGGTGAGAGAGAGTGGGAAAGGGTGAGAGAGTGCGAGAGAGATATGAGATAGAGAGAGAGAGAGAGAGAGAGATAGAGAGAGAGGGGGGAGGGTAAGGGGCAGAGTAGTATGTGAAAGTGAGAGTAAGAGTAACATAAATACTAATTCAAGAGCACAGTAAGTTCATAAAACAAGTAAACAGGGAAAAGGATGAGTTCTGGTTAAAAGTGAAAGAAAAAATGTTTTGTAAGCTGTCTCATTTTTATTGTATAAAATTAGAAAGGGATTGTTCTTCAAATGCCGTTGGCTATAGATGTGTGTTCCAACTATATTTGGTCGATTTTTCAAAATCTTGATGATTTGAAAAATACCTCAGCAAGGACATAACTTATGTTTCCATATAATATTATACAGATAATTTACCTTTCTCACAATTTGTTTTCTCACATTAAATTTCATGACCGGAAGTCTACTTTATATGCTACTCAAATAATATCCCTGTGCCACGTTTTTTTTTATTACGAAATAGTTATTGAAAAGGCTTCAAGATTATTTAATTGTTTCCAGTCCAAGATTAATTTACACCAATGTGGAAAGGGTTGTAATAGAGCTAATCAAGACTGAAAACGCAAAGTTTTAACATTTAAAACATTGGTTCGAATCTTATAAGATGGGACGAGAAGAACAGACGAGAAGGGGCTTGCAATAGGAAAAGAGGAAGGAATCATTAAAGGGCTCTCAATTTGCCTTACCGCTCTTCATGAGCATCCAGTCACAGATCATCTCCCGTTCAGCTTGGATGAAATAGCGTCCGTCAGTCCACACAGCAGCCAGCGTGCTGGTAACCACAGCCAGACCTAGAATAAGAAAAGAGCATGGGTGGAGGTACTGATATTCTGGTATTGGCGGGAAAACATGTATCGAATAGTTTACTAGTTTAAGAAATGTACTCTGAATGTTGAAGACTACACGCTGGTAACCGGATTCGACAACAAAAAACATATTAAACATATTAACTAGTTTAAGCAGAAGGGGGGGGGGGGGGGATTAGAGTATGGTTTCTTACCTGCCGATCCTGAGAAGCCACTGATATAGGGACGTCTTGCGTCAGGTGCAGCGATGTACTCACTCTGGAGGGAGAAAGATGATTATATTTGTTAGTTTCATTTTCCGGAAAAATCTAAACAAAATTAGATTGTATTAAACCTCTGGTCATGACATTCAATTAAAGAAAAAAAAATGTTGTAAGTTTGGGTTTTAAATCATATACAATTGCACAAAATCTTGCTAGAAACCAGCCATTCTGACAAGCGACTTGGAAGGAATATAATATAATCTTTCGAGATGAGCTGCTCTTACATACAAACGAATAAGATGTTAACCAACTCCAGAATACCAAACAACGTCCTTTACAACCATAAATGAGTTGCAAATCTTTTATATGCGAAAGGTCTCTGTGGGCCTAAATCTCTATTTCTCCTTTTTTGTATATGGATTGTCATACAAGATTTATTTGATCAGATAACAGAAATGAAAGAATGAACCTAGTACCTGACCTATCCCGCTCTGATACGTCCAAGCTTACTGGCTCGATGAACGCGTGATGTGTACTTCAAATATTCATAAAATCATTGTAACAACGTCTATACTTAAAGTCAAATCTCCAACCCCACAAAACTGATTGGATCATTTTCATTGTTACGTTATATTTATTCTCGGGATCCTACATAAACAATTTCATGATTTCGAACTTACTTTGTCAACAATGTTCCTCATTGTACAAACGATTGATATGAAATCTAATACATTCGAATCAATCAATCAATAGCCTTTAATCATAGGTGATATATGGTAGTGTGACCATAATTCATGGTCGAACTATTCGACCTATAAAGTTAATACACATTTCCATATCTCACAAAAGTCGGTAAGATTTTGATAATCTGATACCATCAATTAAAAGAGGAACCTAAATAACCCGGATGAAGATATCATTTTTCTTTGACATTGGGTGTGGAATCTTGAAAATATTGACAAAAGATCCGCAAATTATTTGCATCCGCTCAACAACAAAAAATATTGACAAAGGTCTAGGATTTTCATATCGAGAGAAAATGTCATTAAAATTGTAAGTAAAAATTGACAACAATTGATTGGTTGATAATTGGCTTCAAAATTCTGCAACTAACTTATATTTTGATGGATCAATATTTTCATAAATCAGCTGTAAACTCTCGTGCGCGAATTTAGGTCTCTTTTTTAAAGACTCTTTCGTCAGTTACAGCGCATTTCGATCTGACATCGCGATATATCCGAAATTCTTCGACAATAAATTCTTGTTGCACCAATTTGTTGTCAAAAAGTTTGCCGTCCATCTTTAAACAATTGAAATGAATAGATCTATGTAGAATATGAGAAATCATGGATCGAATATTAAATTGCTAACATTTGTTTAAATCTCCACGATTTTTGATCATTCCATCATACTTACGCCGTGGGCGTCTTCACTAGGTACAATGTAGGCGTCGTAGCCATACTGTGTCATGTATTCTCTGATCTTAGCCAGCTGTGCTGTGGTGTCAACTATAGTGTCTGGATAATCCTGTGGGAGAACATAATCAAAACGAAAAATGATTTAATATTAAAAGAAATGAAAGGATAACAATTAAAATGATTATCTATTAGTAGTTGAGTACCTGTAGTACTACAATTGCTGCCGCTGCTTCTGGTACAGTCTGTGAATACCTTTACTAAACAAAGGAAGTCGACGACTAATACTAGTACTGACACTAATACTACTGTACGTCGATGGCAACTACTACTGCTGCTGCTGCTGCTACTATTATACCATACTTCTGGTGCTGATGCTATTCATATTACTACTATATTACTACTAAGATTACTATTACTGTTATTACTATTAAAATTAATGTTATAAATACCATTCTTATAATTTGTGTATTAATATATTATTAATATTACTATTATTATAACAATTACTATAACTATTGATATTAGCACTACTATTACTATCTCTACTACTACCATTACTGTTGCTTTTACTTTTAGTACTACTATTATTATTTCTACTTTTACTACCCTGACTGATTCTACTATTAGTATTACTACTACCCCAAACATTCTAACTAACAATTCTTTTCTGAATTTCGATTATGCCACAGTATGCCTAATATGCCACTTTCTAAGTACCTTTCTCTGTTTCATTTTATTCATGAGCAGTTCAGTTTGTCTGTGTTGTTCAAGTCCACATTTTGGTAACCTAAAACTACTACGGCGGCATAGTACCAACATTTGTCAGAATTGAAAAGTGCCCTTTCTCTAATGGCACAACATTTGGTTCATGTGTAAAATGATGCATACTGAACTATAATAGAAATAGGGGCACTTCATAAAACGAATATAGGGTATTTTGTTAAGGTAAATTTTCATTGGAAAATGTGCTCAAATGGATAAGTCGAGCACCTAGATATTCGGACCCTGCATGTATAAAAGAAAGCCCCAACTAGAATTATGTGAAGGCGTTTTTTTTTTCTTCTCAACTTGCAGATCTTCCAGATGGACAGATAAAAATAGGGGCTTAATCATTGAAGGAAAACAAAAGTTTTCAATGATTTTTTTCTGTGTTTGCTTTGATACATACCGGCGGTGAAGCAGAACAGTCTCGTTCACCAACAGCTCGCCTTTCTCGAGATTTGGCTCTGCCACGGACGAGAGAAACCTCATCGACGTCGTACATTGCGATCGGTTCTGCCCAGCATGGTGACAGAACTATGGATATGAGAGAGAGAGGGAGAGAGAGAGAGAGAGAGAGAGAGAGAGATAATGAGAGAGAGAGAGAGATAATGGGAGAGAGGGAGAGAGATAGTGAGACAGAGAGAGAGAGAGAGGGGGGGGGGGGGAGCGTAGCCTATCCAAGGGGCACACGCCCCTGCCCGGCAAATCCCAATCTAGAATACCTTAGGCCTAAAACGTATATGCCACTAAGTGATAGTGCCCTAAAGCATTCATACTCCGAAGCAGGCGCGTACGCAGGATTTTTTCAAGGGGGGGGGGGGGGGTTAACATTTATAAATCGGGCCGAAAATTTCGCTAACGACTCAGCCAGCCGCTGGATAAGCGGGGGGGGGGGGGGTGGAAGAGGACACTTTTTTTTGGTCCCAACAAAAATCGCAACGACTCAGCCGAACGCTGAATAAGCGGGGACGGGGGGGGGGGGGGGGGGGGGGGGGGGTAAGGTCATCTTTTTAGGTCAGCCATGGGAATGATTTTTTATTTATTTTTTATTTTTTTATTTTTTAATATTAAAAAGGGGGTTTTAGGGGGTGATGGGGGGGGGGGGGGGGTTACACAAAAAAAATACCAACGGGGGGATTTAACCCCCAAACTCCCCCGCCCCCCTGTGTACACGCCTGCTCCGAAGTCACCTCAACTGTGACGGCCCTTGTCCTTTTCTTTTTCTTTTTTCTTTTTCTTCTTCCTTTTCTCTTTTTCTTTTTTTCTTCTTCTCCTTCTTCTTAGACGACCATAATCAAATATCTGCTACTCATAACTTAAGTTTGTAATAACGAGTAAGGAAGAAACAAACACAAATAGAACAATTTGTCAGTGAAGACGGGAAAGGAGACAAAATATGGAGACAAAACAGGTTATTACAATGTTATGAAGATAACCTCCGCCCCCCTTTTTTTTCTTCCAAAAAATCTAAAAATTCAACGAAAGTGCTTTAATATTACTGGCAAAGGTTCAACAAGTCCTCTGTGGGTCATGATGATATAAACTCTGTTTCGTTGACAATCAACCGTAGACGAAAAACTTCATGCATGGCTGATTGTCAACGAAACGGAGTTAAGTCTTTTGTCAATTCTGCTTGTTACTACGGCAGGCAGCCAGTAAAAACGAATTCGTTAGATAAAATTATGGAAATGCAACCACTAATATAAACAAACATAACTTTGTCATTCCTTGCTCATTTTTCCTGATTGAGGTGTCATATGAAAGGGTAGAAACTAAACTTTCTAGAAATGGGATTTTCTTTTTGAAATTCAGATACCGTCCGCCAAATGACTTTTTGGTTTCCTCTCTTCAAATTGATTTGAATCACTCATGCGTGAAATATGAATTATATGAGTTTCATCAAATGAAAGAGGAGGATCTGAGCTTTACAAATGTGTGTCATTTATCAATTAGAATTGTGATTAAGTTATTATAAACCTTACACAATTATCGGTTTCGGTTTTTTGGGACGCACTGTATATACGAAAATGGATAGTATAGAAAGCCCTTTGGCATGTTTGGAGTAAGTTGACACAGCAAGCATTCTGGTTCTAAAGGTCCCCCGTACGTATAAACAATTCGGAATTCTGTCAACTTTGAGGTGATCGCGTTTAGTTGAGCTTTCCGCCATATTTGCTAAGGCCTTTGTGAAGTCCAATACTTTGGGCATCTGGGATTAATCAAGGTATTTCCTTTAAATCAGGGAACCGCCCCTTAAAGGATACTCTATACATTGCCTCGTTATTTACCCAATAGCATAGCATAGGCAATTAGGCATATCTAACGAATCGGTAAATTGGAGGTTTATGGCAATATAAGAGTGCTAAAAAGGAGGGGTGGGACAACTTGGGCTCCCATATAGCCATGTATGCGTTCAGCCATCTTGAGATGAGTGATTTCAGTTGCTTTGTTGTTTTGCGATGTAAATATACGTGGAATTTATGTAAGGAGCATTACTAGCCCTGTATTGTCTCTGGGCCTATGCACACAAAGAATATAGTTGTACATGAATATTGATTTAGATGTACGTAAGATATGAACATATTGTTTTTAAGTATGAACATGACTACGGAGCGCGTACAGAAGAGTGTGGTAAACAAGTAGTTGTTACGAGCACATTCATAAAATGAGTTCACAAGTCATCGTACAAGAACAAAACAGAAGTTTTGTTCACTTTCTTCAAAATAGCTAGATGATTATAGTAAAACTATCGTGTGAAATATCTTCAAAATATTTCAATATGGTCTTTAAATTTTAAGTTAACTTTCATCGCAGCCAGTGGCCAAATTTGACAATTTGTTTACAGAGTTAGAATCGAAAATGTACGTTTCAAGTGTAAATTCATAAAATAAGTACAAACATAACCGTACAACGGAACTCTTTGCTCGAACAACGCCTGAAATAACAATAGTTTTAATGAGAACTAAAACACTGTTAAATAAAACAGGGTGGAAGGATATACCCTGAATACTCTGGCAATGATATCAGTGCGCGTTATCCTATCTAAGTTTAAATCTTTAGAGATCGCCTAAAATAAACAGAAAAAATTCTGTATATATGGTATCCGCCCCTTTTAGTCAACACTAAAACAAAACACCAGACAAGTCGTGCCTGTCGCCAAATATATAAGTTCTCTTTTCAGTATTAAAGCACGTTTACGAATTGTCAAGTCCTTCATGTTATATCAGATAAAAGATGACCCTGTACAGCGTGTTTGAATGGCTACAGTATATTACACTTCAGTCACTGTCATGTGCCATTGCGTCATTTCACAAATAAAAACATGAGTTGAACGCGTTGCGTGAATACTAGTGTCATGGACTCTAGAATTCACCTCTTGCTTTGAAGGTGTCACATTTAAGACAAACATTCGAGGTTTATATTCACTCCCACATTGCCCCTCCACACAATATGAATAAGGTGGCCACTGTAAGGTTGGACCATGAAGCAAGCATTCTAAACATCAAAATATATCAAATGAGGGACCGAAACGAAAATTCCTTTTAATTTTCATTTTATATATTGAGTATATTAAGAATTGTTGGGATCATAAGAGTAAACAAAATGCTACTTTACACATTACTTTCTAAAAAGATACATGGTTAGAGCTTCGGTGTTGGTGTTCGAAAAATGAGTATTGTTTGTGTTTATTTAAAATCCTGAAAAACAAGCAAAACCCCTTTGCACAATAAATGAGTACAAGGCTTCACATGCACATCAACCGAGAGACCCACAACCTCAAAGCCTACAATATGTGAAGGGCTTGTAAATTGAGGAAAAATGTCCTTCAGCGCATTGACTTCGGCCCCAAACTTCCCAGTTACGAGGGAACTTGTCTACCACTAAGCCAATAATGCCATCACGCCTAGTCCTTTTTATGCCTATAGAAAAAGTTGTGTCAATGTTATAAATAAATATATGAAATCCAGATCGGCATTGCATGATAGCAGCCAAAGGGCGGGCAGGTTTACGTTCTTTACACCTGCCCCCCCCCCCCCCCAAAAAAAAAAACACAAGTAATCGCATGCTACGAGCGTAAGCCATCTATTAATGCGTTGTCTCAACCCCCCCCCCCCCCCCCTCCCGGAAACGTATCAACACGTCTCCACCTGTTATCAATTTAACATGGATGATTAGTCGGGGAAGGGTGTTCCTATCTAAACTCATTGATACCCTTCCGCACGATTCAACAACACCACTTATTGTAATTATAGGAGTGAATTGTTCTATCGAATTGTATTTACACATGAATACGTGATCTTTGCACCGATTGATCTATCATAGAATTAAAAATGGGACACAAACCCTCTTTCTGATGATATTTAGTAAATTATTAAATCTAAAGAAGTGTAATACAACTGTTAAACATGACACGACACGCACCGTCTCGTGTATAGTGGGCAACATATCAATGAAAGATTACAAGACCATTATGACAAAGCTCAAGTTACCTTTGATTATTGTGTCCAATGATTTGACATTAAACCATCAAGCAAAGTTAATAGTTGATCTTTGCTGTTTAATAACATCAAGTATACCTATCTAAAACGCATGAAACGTCGTTTTATTTAATGATGTTTGTAGTCCACTTGTACTTCAATACTTGGCACATATTTATATTTGTTAGAATCTTGATAACCATGCTTAGCATTTGTATCACCCAATCTATCAAAATGCAAACAAGTGATACCTTACTTCTTGCTGAGTTGACGTCTGCGGAAAATATGAAAGATTGTAAATGTGTCGAATGTCTAGGCCTACGATTTTGTTGTGTTTATTACTATTTGGTTGAACAAAAGAATTATAAGATTTATAATACAGTTGTCATATTGATGTGTGCCTTTGTATCAGGCGATAGGGTATTGATAATATATATTCCTCGGGTCGTTAGTGGCATGATTTCTTGTGACTATAGTGTCCGATCATTAATAAAAATGCAAAAGCTCTAGCGCAGTTTTGACAAGAAAAAACAATCTTTGGATGAGAGGTGTCTCTTCAACCGTTTCTCTTGTGTTAAAGATGGTTACCCGCAAGGTCACCATAGCTCACCTGATACACTACCTGAGTGGGTTCTTACGGATTACCCGCTGCAATAAGGGAGTTTACAGATAGCACATGGTACAAATGACCCGAAATATCCACAGATCTTTTACACATGGAGAATTTCCACTTTGAGCATCTTAGAATAAGAACTGCCAAAGTCCTAGATGTGCTTCATGAATACCTTTTGTTTGACCTCTTGAAAATATTACTTCCACCTGCGTATCATAGAATGTACCGTGGTGAATAAATGAATAATGTTACATAACTTTCATGAGCGCATATCCAGTATTTACCTCTGTGGGTTTTACCATTTTGGTACAAATGACCTTTATCTGCCCATGCGCAGATTGTATCTGTAAACTCCCTTATTATCTGGTGTCAGCCGATCATTAAAGCGCCTTTTTGCTCCCCTATTGCGTTTGACCTGGCACAGTTATCGAACACAATACCCC